TTGCGCTGGACGAACGCGCTTCACTAATGGGGATTCCCTTTACAAGGTGTCTTCGCGATTGCAGTGACGAGGGGACCGCCTCTTTCACGTTCATTTCGTGCTAGATAGAGTAATACGAGAAGCAGCCAGAGAAAGCCTGAAATTACGCAATGATCAGAAATGATGATGAGTTTCGTCACGGGCATCCTAGTAAAAGATTCTTACACTCCAAGAATTTCAAGATTGCATCGTGATGATTCTAACATGTATTTCTCCATTGTAATTGCTTTTTTACTAACCGTGTCTTGGTATGCTTAATCTATCAGCCATATTGATAGCTGTTGCATTATTTCGAGATTTAATCTCTTGTTTTTCTGTAGACACTGTCGTAAAACTGTCGCTTACAAACTTCAAGTTGACTGGCCTCTAAATAGGTATATTCGAAGCTACGACACGCTTCAGAGAACTTCTTTTCTTTAGTATCTATTAAAAGTTGTGTCTCTGCACTCTCAACGAAAACCAGTTTCAAGTGTACACAGCCAACACATCATGAACTTACGCACGCAAAAGCTAGAGTAGCTTCTGCTCAGGTGTCTTCCATCACACTAGAATTTTTAACATCAATAACTCATGGGTTCCAATTCAAAAAAACTACTCTATTGGAAACTCTTTCGAGTAGCAAAAAATTTTTTCAATGAATTCATTATGTCTTTTTTATTTAACCCATTAATTCCCAAGGATGAAAATAAAAACATTCATTGATTTCATTGTTTATAACAATAATAAATACATTGTGTCCTGACGACATTTCTATTTATTGAAATCCGTAATTTTGTCGTCTTTTAGTTAATAAAAAATTAAAATTATTTAGAGTCATGTATATTTATTAATATTGAGCTCCGTTTTCAACAACATCAATCACTCAATAAGTAGAATTTATTTCAAGTGCCTCTTTTACTCAACTTATTAAATTAATTTTTGTACTAAGTAGTTATGAATAGGTAAAAGTAGAAAAGGCCGTTTTTAATCAGACCCAGATGGTCTTGTAATGAGAATATAATGAGAATAATGGATTCTACGAGCTCTAATTAACGATTATGTTAGTTAATGGTCACAAGTTACGCTACACTTTGCGTGTGTCCATGATAGTAAACTCATGATGCATAACAGAGTTTTCTCGTTCCCACAATTGAGCCAAGAAATTTGCGTCATGGGAGCGCATTCAATAAATCCAAACACGTTCTTTGATACTTAGTTTTCTTCAAGTTGAGGTTTTACTTGACTTAATTCGTCTTCCATGCATGACTGTCACAGACAAAACTCGGTGGTGTATCGATGCAATTCTATACCTCTTATTGAGTGCGTCGCTTGATTGTAGAAAGCGAAAGGAGGCACTGTTTTGTGGTACTTTATTATGGGAAATTTTTCTGTGAAATTATAGACATGTATAATACACATAACAGTATACTCTATTTTAAAATAGATTTTAAATGGATTATACAAGACAATATGAAACTGACATATCCAAGTATAATTATGGTTGATAAAAATAGGAAAAAAAGTTAAAAAAATACATGCCGGAAATGGGAACAAACTTTTCTTTGGATAGTTGAAATTACTTTCCAACTTGTATGAAAGTGTATTAATCGACTAGAAATACTCTCATTGATTTTGAATGTTGCTGCCAAACTTTCAAATAACAATTTAATATTTTTATTTTTCGTGACACAATGATAATAACAGTCATGACAGTAAAAATAAAACTTTTATTTTCTCGCAACATTAATTTTACATTAAGCCAAACTCACTATTCTTTTAATGTAAATAACAAAAAATACGCTTCCCGTATATTGAAGGTCTATAATTAAAAAAAAAAAAGAAAAGAAGAATCCAAAGTACTGTAAGTATTCTGAATAAATTGAATTCTCACAGTTCTAAAGCAATCATTTTTATTACTGCAAAACATTATGAATAAAATTTTAGCTATCACAATTCTTGACAGAAAGATATAACATTTTCAAGAATCCAATAATTTTTATCAACAGAATTGACATATTTTTGTTATACTAGGAATAATACTTTGAAATATTGCTTTGAGAATTTCTAACTTTTATTCCAAAAGTTTGACTTATAAACTCCTCGATACTTTGATCGTTTATATTAATTATATTAACAATAATATACAGATGATATAGAATTAAAAATTTGTAGAAAATACTATTTTTCGTGTTACAAACAAGACTTTCGTAATATGAAAAGTCTATTTAATAAAAAAAAAAATTAAAGTGCTTGAACATTTCATCTCAAATCTTTTCTCCAAACCACAAAAGAGAAATCTTGATCATCATTGTGGACAAAGTGGAATAGAAATACATTTACAATGATAAAAAAGACTTCATAATCTAATGCTATATACATTTATTCGATTATTCGAATTATTAAAAAAGTGAAAGGAAAATCCTTCAGAATAAAAATGGCACTGCAATTTTTTTTTTAATGTAATACAAGATTAACTAATAATTATTATTCAAATATAATGAAAAAAAAATCTATTTAATTACTCATATTACTCTACTTAGACGTAATGTGATTCATTTCTTGCTTAGTTCATTTGAGAATCTCTCCTTTTAACCTGTGTAATACCAATTGGCGGAGAAAGAAACATAAGAAGCCCTGTGGCTCATAAAGATCATTATGAGTGCCTCAGGTTGAAGATGAGATGCAAGAAAAAAAAAATTAAATGGAGTAATATCATTTTTAACCAACTTGTAAAAATTAGCTCCAATGAGTTGAATAAATTAATTATCTCTAGTCTCGTAGATGAAAAACATTAATTTGAAACAGGTTTCGATTAATGTAGAACATAGAAATGCTAGTGAAAAGGAGTAATTAATTACCGAAGGAATAATATTATCATTTAAATTTTTAAATTAAATAATCATCAAGATACTGAAAATTGAGATTGCCATGGTGAGAATAATATAGGAAATAATGGTGAGAAAAGTGCTACGTAATCAGTAGCAATTGAAGTCTAACGTCTTTCACAGATCCTAGACCCTTACATTTGCTTAGTGAATTTTTTTTAATCGCATAAATCGATGGGTGTATAAGTGACTTTTTAAACGAAATGACCTGGAACGGTGTGCATTCCGGTGTTGGGAAAACTTGGGTCTACGATCACAGTGCGGTACAAAATCGTATAAGAATCGTATCGTGATCTTGGAAACTCAATAGATCGTTGAGATCGATCTTGACCAAATAAGGAAATCAAAACGTCAGTGATCGTTAAATGAGAATAAAGTGATCGCGTGATAGACGTGAGTAAACCAATATCAACTATCTGAATTTAACTTGATTCTTATAACGTTTGTCTCTCATTACACTCATGCTTAGGTTGCAGTCTGTAATGAAAGGTGTGGGTATAACCTCCTATTTGCATTATATTTTGCTATTACGAATCGCTAATGAAAAACAGATTTCAAATGAATGTTAATTACGGTGAATTGTAGTGCTTGGTAGAATAAATAAGCTAGGAATGTTTTGATAAGATTATCTTTTTTATTATACATTATATAGATATATATATTTTTATATATATATATCTATAATAATACGCATTCAACAAAAAAAAAAATAAAAATGGAAATAATAGAAATCTAAAAGCTAAGAGAAAAAGTCATTGTTCCAAGTAGCATAAAATTCTAAAAATACTTGAACATGTCATCCATCTTCTGTAGGAATTTTTTTTTTCTTATTCGTTGGATGAAAGATAAAAAAACTAAAGAAAATTTTTCTAGAAACGAATTCCATTTATATGAATAAGTGACTTTTTGCCAGTGTAATTTAGTTATATCGTAGGGTTAAAACGCAGTATATGCGTTATGTATTATATATGTATATGGATAAATGTGTTTGAAATTCCTGGATTTACATAGATGGAAAATTAACCAGAGCGCAAAATGCACTTCTTTATCCATTATTACATTTCCGAGAACAAACAATTAGGATGTTGTAGCCGAAAAAATACTATACACTGCCATTGTTTACGTGTGAATAATTGCCAACATACGTTCAAGCCGGAAATATAATAATTCTAGGTCAACGTATTGTATGATATCACAAATACGTCCAGCAAAAAAAAGTTGTTCACTTGTTTATACATTGTTACTAGAAAGTACCATTTTACTAGTAGATATTTAATTACTTTTCAAGTGCCACTGATTGTGTGTATTATTTTAATTATAATTAACTCCATCTAAATTAAATCTTCATCTATATCACTATTTCTTGGTGACAGTGTGTGTTTTTTATTATCTATGAATGAGCTATAAAAATAAATTTTTTTATCGACTGAATAGATTCGATAATTAATGATAACATGATATCATTTATGATACAAGTATTTTTCTTAAAAAATTTTCATTTAACCAACAATTTATATGGTTTCAAAATTACGAAACTAGGTTATGCAAACCTGTTCTACTTTCATACAAGATAAATGATATACCTATATACGAATACCGGTGACGTCCACAGTATCAAAATCAGAATTATCCAAAAGGAAGACTTACCTGGAACAAATATAAATAATTTATTAATTAATTGCCTCCATATCATATTTAAATGAAACAATGTTATGTATTATTTTATTTATAACAACAAATATTAATTAAATATCACATTTAATGAATCTTTTATCAAATAAATTACTTGGAAAATAAATGCTCTTTCATTCATCGCTAGTAATTTATGATTTGTAGCAATATCTATATATTATATTTCTTTGTGAAAATGTATTATGTATCTTAATTGAAAATTAAGTCATAAATTCAGAATAGTATCGTTTATTTGTCAATAACTATAAAAAAGAGAAGGAAAGAAAAAATAGAGTTAAATGAAGTGGATGGTGAATAAAAAGTACTAAACGGTTTCATTTATCAAAAGATGCGCGCTGATGGATCGATATCTCGAAGCATTTTCCATCTTTCTTTATTTCCATTTGCGAGTTATCGAACGAGCCACTACGTGACCTCATTTGCGGTTGTACAGTCTCGGATGTTCCTTCCAACAACATCAGTCGGTAATTTCAGAGCATTTACGTGTCATCCGAATACTAAAGATTCTAGAGAACGTGACAGCCGGAAGAAACGTGTACATTTGCTCATCTCGTTTACTCAAGTGTTTACGCGTACACACACGAGTTGCTTAACAACTAGATACAAACAGATAACACTGTTACAACTATTGCATCATGAAAAACATCTCTCTGGCATAAACTCATAGCGCCACCAAGTCCACGTGCTCTTGTGAGTTCACCATTGCGCTTGCTTTGGAAGTTAATTTGGTTGCATGCGAATTTTCAATGAATTCGAACGTCAGCAAGTGTAATTTTAATCACGACAGCAGTTCTTAAGAAATAAGACTCTTCCAATAAAAATGATTTGCAAGCAAAACATGTTGACATGAATTTTATTGCTTAAGCAAATGTAGAAATAAATTAGTAAGAAATTGGTGAAGAAATTCAAATATTTATGTTTACTCTGCATTCAATGAATATGTTGAAAAACTAACTGTATCTGCAAATGGTTGACTTCAAACTTGCCTAATCCCATTCATATGATCTAAAAGTTCATCTGATAAAATTCATATGGTAATTTAAATACAATCATTTTGTATAATTATAACCTAGATGTTAGAGAGAAAAATTCTAGCAATTATAAATTGCAGTTGTGTAATTTACAATTGGTCTTCTATTCCTTTTAAACCCTAGGATCGTGTACACGAGCTGGCTAACCTTGACATTTCGTGCGACGCGTGCTCACGTTTATTTTAGAAAGGTACAAGAGTAAATAACGGAATAAGCTTCAGGCAACACATCACAATAGAAATTCAATAGAGATCTCGGGCGCACCCTTTCAATTTCTTTTAACATCGTTCTGAATCACTGAAATACTCGTCTCGTCATTAAATTCTCTTTTTCTTCAGTAATACCATACATACATATTGTATATATCAATTTTAAATTTAATGATAAAGAATTTAAGAATTATTGAAAAATTAAAACATGGATTACGAAGAAGAAATAGTTCAGCCACGAAACCTTCTGCATCTGAGGTATTTTTCATGATATTTTATAATATATAACGATTATATTTACAATTAATTTGATGAAGCACATTATAAATTAATTGACCTAAGCTGATTAAAACAATAATAATTTTTCATAATTGGATTTATGCTTATCTTAACAATTGCGAGAATAAAATGAACTAAAGAATATATAATGGCAATTCTGCATCGCCCTTAGTTCATTTATTCTATAGCGATATCTTGACAGATCAGAGGCTGGAAAAGACAAGTAAACTGTTGATGGTCTTTACGGTAAATAGGTTTTAACGAGCTACCTGATACAAACAAAGGAGCCACCATGGACATCCTACTTCGTCAAGTACTTTGATGTAGTAAATGATCAACGGGGCATGTCTCATTTCAATTGGTCAGTTGGGAGCAGTAACTACCACGTACTTCGTACTGGATGTTTTCCTTATATCAAATATCACTGTACTAAACGAGCAAAAGAGGACCTCAGTATGGACGACAAATTCTACAAGGCTATCAAGATAATTAACCTTGGTAAACTGGTAATCCACTCATGTTTCGATTTTAATGTTTTTTCACATTTGTAATTCACTTTTTTTCTCATTTTTTTTAGGTATTCCCACTTTACTTTACGGACTTGCGGCCACTCAGTTAATTCATCACCACGAAGTTGTCAAAACTCCTCGAGGAGAAGTTACTATTTATTTCCTTCTTCCAGAAGATAAAGGATCGTTGCATTAAAAAATTAATTATAGTTATGAGCTCAATTTTTAATCATTAAAATATGTAAAATATCTCGTAATTCATTTTAAAGAAAAGTACTTGATATTTAAATCATGTAATTTTTGAAATCATTCTTATGGTTGATATAAGAAAATCTAGTTTTATAAGATAAGTTTTTTACTACCGTAAATATGTAAATTAAATGAATTATAATAATAAGTTGATCGTTGAGTCAGACATTATATTATATAATTGACAAGATTTTAAAATAATTTTTAATCGTCTGTTTCGAATGTCTGGGTTATACTGTTAATAATTTTATATCTTGATTCAAAATTCGAGAAATTTTTAATTTGCAAGCAAGATATCGTGTCGACATGTTAATTCGTGTATATTAATCTTTCCGTAACTTCCGCAATATGTATGGATAAAGGATATAATTAACCGTGCTGACGAGACTTTCACCGTTTTGTACATACATTGAAAACTTTCCCTCGTTGTCAGTGAATATTATCTCTTCCTTTAATTGCTTCGATCGCTTTATTATACAAATATCATGACACTTTTTAACTTGAAACAAAACCAGTACATTCATGGAAATGTGCACATCGAGAACTCATAATTGTCAACTAAGCTTTAAATTATACATTCAGCTTCTGTCAGCAGCAAGAGAACAAAACTGTCTTTTAGTTAAGTGCAGTGTTGTGATGTATTAATGAGGTCATTGCCAATAACTAATGAGCTGTCATCAAAGGTAAAATGTACTATAGGTATAAATGAAACTTAGAAAGCGATTGGTTTGACTTATCGATGATGACGTTTCAAAGATGCCGAAGAGTAAGATTAGTTGTGGAGGACGCTCGTTAGTTGGAGTATCTTCTTTACTATATACTTATTCTATGTGTAGGATTTTTTGTTTTCCTTTTTTTTACACTATGCAATGCAACTGGGCGGCCGCGTCGGCGTACTTGTTTATCCGGATAAACTGGACGGGTACCAATTTTTCATTGGTAACGGCTATCATGCGTTCTCCATGGTAAGCAGTAAAGACATCATTTTGGCGCCAATCGAACGACACAACGAATGATCCTAAAGAAATTGATTACCAATTTATTGAGAACATTATTATAAAAATCACCATGGGTTACACGCCTTGAGGCTTAAGCTGTCATATTAATCACGATTGGTGTTTCTTGATCATCATTTTACTTTTATTCATTAATTACAAAAAAAAAAAAATATTTAATTGAAATTAAATGAAGGTTGGTAATTTTTTTATCTCAATTATAAAATTCGGATTGGATTGTTCTCAATTACTTTCTCATTTATTACAGGACTTGGCTGATTTAATGATTGTACAAATTAAAAAATAATTTCCAACCACCACAAGATGGGCAACAGATAGTGAAACACAGGGAAGAGATGATCAACAGATAAGGGAAATATTTTTTCAGTGCCAAGAAAAAATTCTGGAATTTATTATCAAAACTGGTGAAGTAAAAAATCATCAAATGATGTTAATAAATCGTAGCAGTACTGGATACTCTGTCTTTTCTTGAATTTTATTAAAGAAATAGTGAGTTGATTAATAACAAGTAATTTCGTTAAATAATTTCATGAATAATATGGTAAGATAACTAAAACGATATAAACAAATAAACAGTGAATAAATAGCATGGTTATACATCTGCGTCACGCCTAATTAATTTCACACGAGTTAGAACAAGGTTATTTGCATGTACGATTGGTCATAACGCTCAAATGAGAGATGCTATCTCATCGACAAGTAGTCCATAATAGTATTAAATGCATCAGCAAGTTTCCGTATAATTCAACAGAAAATATGAGTTTGTGTTAAAATAAATGTATTACTTGGACGGAAATCGTATTTAATTCTTCTTAATCTTGATATAGATAATAAGAAGATTGCTGTACATTTCATTATCATTTATAGTTAATTTTTTAAATGAAAAATAAGATGAAGAATCCAACAGGTGATTTTACGCTTTATCCACAGCTAATCTACAGATAATTGTGTAATGACTACAGTTTGCAAGAAGCTGCTACACACTTTAAATTTCTCCTCGTTGGTTGATAAAATAGTTTTAAGTATTATTACTACTATACGGAATACAAGAAGAAGAGTTAACTAATGTATGTTCATGTAAACACATTTCTTAAAAAAAAAAAAGAATTAAATTTCAATCTTCCTTACATGGATCTCGTCTAGACACGGTAGAATTATCTAATTGTCGGTTTGTCTTTACATATGACATATTAATCGTATTTAGCCAGTAGGTATGAGGCGTGGAGTTCATGCAAGTCTACTAATTAGTCATTGTTTTATGAGTAGAGATGTTACATCTTGAGACATGCAAGAAAGCTTGGTAGTCATGCTTCAACGAATTCGTGAACAAAACTTGCATAATAGAAACACTTTTTCTTGCTCACAGCTCTTTAATGTTCATGTAAACATGCTTTTTTAATTGTTCGTTTGGTGGATGATTTAATGATACGATTTGATGTATAATTATAACTCGTTTCCAAGCAAAACTATTTAAGACTAGACTGATTAAAACAAATCAGTTTTTTCAAGGTATACTTTAGGTAATGTTTAATTTTAAGTAGACATATTTCATATAAATCACCATAATTTCGAATTGTTGTACAATACCAGGAGAAAAGTGAAGTTTAAATATATGATGCGTTGAAAATAACGAATAATGTGTAAAAAGCTTTATAACTACAAGTATTACTGCATAAAATATCAAGTGAAGATAGGTTGTAGTGCTCAAGGCGAAAAACCACAGCCACGTGGCTTTAAGTTAATGGAAGCGTTGCCCTTTCATTTAAATTTTTCATTCTCTTATTCTATCTCTTTTCTATTCACGTTAGTCGAGGTGTGGTCGTTTGGCCGGGTGCGTTTTGCGTTTTAGCTCTAGTGTAAGTTCCAATACAACTGAGTAGTTCGAACGTCCACTTAATGGTCTCGTTATCTCAGTTGAAAACCGGCCGATCGTCGCTCGCGGAAATACCTGCTCTCTTCTTCGAAATCTCGTATACCTTGGAGGGTAAAAAATGGTTTGAATGAATGTATGTATATTTAAGAATGTCGATAAAAGATTCAAGTTATTTAAAAAAACTATTTAATCCTTTTCTATATCAATTATCAGTAAAAACTCAATAAAATCTTTATTTTAACTGCAATGCTTGGAATAAAATTTATTCAGGGAATGATTTAAATTCAGTACAGTAATTGTGGATTTTAAAAGAGTTGCAGATGCGAGACATGAAACGAATGGTCGAGACATAATCGATTTTAATCAACTTTTTCTTTCAAGTGCTCCATTTTCAGAAGTATGGCCTCGAGCTCAATAATACTCAAACTCCTTTCGAAGGTCTTTCGAAGATTAACGTTCTCCTTTTTTTTTTATTTATTTTAATCCAGAATACACATGTTGCACATTTTATTGTTAGATATTTTATTTATAAAAAAATGATGATAATTCAAATCAGAAGAGGAAATATAGATTGATCTCTAGTGCAAAAATAATAGCACAGAATATCCAATGGAATTGAATCATATTATTAAAGAAAATTTTGCTCATTTGTTTCGGTTCATTTCGAACCGGAAATAGGTAACATTCATCTGCTCTGAATAGTGTATTCGACATGTGCACACATACAGCAAGATTTCCAAAGATCTTATCGATTTATCATTAGAATATATATTCCTGTATACTCTTGCATAAAGAGATATTCAATCGACATGGTAAATCAATTGAATATCTTCTGTGTAGAATTTAATTGCACATATTAGCATCATTACTTCAGCTGTGAATACGAAATCAAAAAGAAAAAAAAACACCGTCAAATACTTAATGCCTTCCCACTCAACTATTTTCAATTGTTAAAACTGTTGCAAGCTATTCAAGTTATTACAACACTCCAAAACGACAGTTACGTTTAATTTAAATTTATATATTTAAAATAAACTTTTTTGCTGACAAATAAAAATATTTGAATTAGATGAATGCTCATGGAGGAAAGTTATTTTAATGAGCAATTCAATGATGCAGGAAGTGTCCTCAAAATTTGTTTGCCCTTAATTCGTAAAATGTTGACTCAAATAAAATTGATAAACATGTGGTATATTACGCAAGCTTTGTTCTAGATCCCTCGACATTTTTTAGTCAGTAAAATTATCAGAAGTTGTTGTAATGAGGTCAATTTTTGAAATTGTGCCCAAGTGTGTCCAAACCCATTTTATAATTTAAAAAAAAAAAAAAAATAGAAAAAAATAAATAAATTGAGATGCTTTATTTTTTTCTTAGAAAACAGACAATAAAATTATTAAGAAAGAAAATCACTGTCATGTTCATGACATTTGGGCTTCACACATCATTAAACCCTGTAAGTTAATTTAGCGTTGAAAACCCGCTTGAATTATTTTACTGACTATATAATTAAAACGTCCTTTCTTCTTCTCGTATAATAAGATCTTCACTTGCATGTTAGAATAATCGCTATTTCCTTTCTCAGGTTCTTTTACGAGATGCCAGATCGCACGGTTGAGAATTTCCGTGTCGTAAAGTCCACTACGATGGTGTTAAACTTGGAGAAAACGATGGAGTATGTGATATTCAAACCAAAAAGTGTCATTGTAAATTCAAGTATGCATCTACGTGCATCATCTAAATGCCATAGCTAACCGATCGACTTGGAAGTAATTGATATCTAACTGAACCTATGAAAGCACATATAATACCTATTTCAAGTGCGTATGTGCACATATATCTTTAGCTATAAAGCATGGTAGAGAGAGCCAACAATATAATATTGAACGAGAAAAGAAGACATTGAGTATTCGCATGGTAATACAGACAAGATTGGCATATGTTGTTTCATGTTTGTACGTTTCAACGCCACACCCTTGCGTGCTTGAAGGTGCATAAATACTCACGCAGAATTGCTTCGGGTGTGGACAAAATCCACTAGCTTGATCCACAACCATCACGAGT